TGCGTGGTGGATGGACAGCGCGGACTGACACATCCTCCTCGTGGGCTGCGGGATCCTTGTGCGAGAGCGAGGCCTTCAAGCGCGTTGGCTACGACGTCGAGCTGGGCGCTCGGGTTCGCGTCCCGCCGGGGCACGCCTGCTGGGACGACATGGCAAGGTGGAAGGAAATGCTTCGTCGGCGCTGGGAGAAGGAGCAGGTCAATCTTCTGGAGATGAGGGCGGGCCCGACGGCGGTCAGACATTCAGCGCGCGTGCCGGCGAGCTGGAGGCGACGCCACCTTCGGATCACGGGCTCGATGGTGCGCCTGGGCGGCTTCAGAGCAGGGCAGGTCGGCCAACCAACCGATCTCGATCCTGTGCCGGAGGATGGCTGCGCTCGATCTCGGATGCGGGATGTGGGAGTATTGGCGCTGGGTGCCGTCGGATCGCAAGCACAGCGACGGACCAAGTCGCGGCTTCCCCGTCGGCCAGGCCCCGAGGGAGCGCAAGCCAGAGGAGCAGGCGCTGCCCGAGAGGGTGGCCCTGAAGATCGAGACGCCGGCGGACGTCGCCGAGATGGATCCTTCGGAGCCGCTGAGGATGGGCGTGTCGATCCCAGTCCGGGTGCTGCGCTTCATGCACTTGTGCAGTGGGCACACTCGCGGGGGGGACCTAGAGTACTGGCTGATCCGATCGCCGCCTGGAGGGGGCACCTGCCGATCTGCACTGGGGCTCAGCTCGACCTGGCCGGCGATGTCAGCGTCAGGAAGCTGGAGTTGCTGGCGGAGGTGGAGACCGTCGGCGGACATTCGGGGCCCTCGCGTGCGACGTGGTCCAGGGTGCGCTTCCAGCCTGGAAGGTCGCCTCCGCTCCGTCTTCTACGTCAGCTGCGGGGCCGGCCAGCCCTTCGAGGGAACGACCCGAAGAAAATTCGACTCGGGAGCGCGGAGGTGCTGAACGGTCTGAAGATCCTGAGACCGATCCGGCGCAAAAGGAGCTGGGTGTCGCTCGAGCACCCAGCCGACATGGGCTGCGCCCCGTTCCCGTCGATCTTCATCGCGGAGGAGGTGCCTGCAGTGGGAGGCCGAACTGGGCGCCTACAGGGTGACCTTTCCTCCGTGTATGTGGGGCTGTGCCGCACCCAAGTTCACCACGCTAACTGGTACGGCGGCGGGTATGGAGTGGCTCATCAGGTCTTGCAGACACGAGAAGCACGTGGCAAGCCTTTGTGGAAATGATGCGACTGGTCGTTTCGCACGATGGTGGCTCAGGCGTACTCGTCGGAGTTCTGCCAAGTGCTGACGGAGTGCCACGTGGACGCCACGATGAAGATGCAGGACCACCGAGAGGCCGAGCTGACCGAGAGGGCCGTGGAGCAGCAGATAGCGGAGAGGATAGAGCGCAGGCGCGGGGACCTCCCATCGGTGGACATTTTGCCGTCGGCCTTCCTCGAATCGTCAGGATAAGTGAAGCACCCGACTGGTCAGAGAAAGATGACCGCACCTGCTGTTGCTCCGATGGCCGCCAAACAATCCGACCATTTTCAATCCGAAACGGTCCGTTTCCGTGCGCGCACTGCGGGCTCAGGCACTTCGAGCGCGCATGACTCCATGACTTTGGCTTCCACCCAGTCTTCGCAGAGGCTGTCCTCCTCTGGTCGGTGTTCGCTTTGGCTAGGTCCGTTGATCTGGGCTGCGACGCCGACCCGAGGGAGGGCGGCTGCCGAGGAATGGCCTGCGTTGCCACGCTCCGCACTGCAAGATGGGCAGCACCCACCGCGGGAACGAGGCGGAGCGCTTGCAATCATGTGGGGCTACGCCGAGGAGCAGGCCTACGCTTAGGTCGGGCCTGTCCCCCTACAGGGGGAGTTTGGACGAAAAAGAAAAATACTCAAAAAGTGCCCCAAAGATGCCCAAAAATACAACACAAATAATCCCCAGACTATTTTTTGACTAGTTTTGAACTTCCCTCCTATAGAGGGACAAGCCCGACTTAAGCCTACGGCCGGATTGGCGTGGCTCCCATTCTCGGTCTCTGTCAAGACCACCCTGGGCTGGTCTGGTGCGTTCCGAACGTACGGCGCTTCCCGGAATTCGTCCTGGAGTGGAAGCTGCCTATGATGAGCCGCGAGGGGATCGACGACTCGGTCCTCTGCTATCTGGGCCAGCTCGTGGAGGACGAGGAGGTGGGCCCATTTCGAAGCGACTTCGTGGTGCAAGGCATGGAGTACGTATGGCCAGAGCGGGCTGCCGAGGTCGAACCGAGCGCTGCGAGCTTGGCATCGATTGCACGTGGCCGGAGAAGGTGGACCTCAACCACTGGAGTTGCGGGCCGTGTTGGACGAGGCCATGAAGTCGGCCGGTAATGTGGAGGCGGCCGACGCGGCGGAGCTCGCGCTGGACGCCTACCTGAGATCCACCGAGCTCTTCGCCCTGCGCGTCTCGGACATCATCGTCGACACGGACGCGCAGGGCGAGCAGGTGGTGGCGCTGCGGCTCGGAGTCACGGAGCGGGGCGAGCGCACCAAGGCGGGCGTGAGGCAGGGCGTGTTGGTGGATCGCAACCACGTTGCCGAGATGCTCGTCCCGCGGAAATCGGTCAAGCAGCCTGCTGACCGACTGCTCGCCTGCTCGGTGGACGCCTGCCACCAGGCGCTGTGGTGGGCCTGCGAGAACGTCGGAGTGCCGACCCTGCCGCCGCACACGGCCGGGCACTGGGGCCCCAGTCACGAGGCGGCCGAGGGCTTCAGGACGGCGGTGCGGGCCATTCAACGTCGTGGACGCTGGGCCTCGGAGGAGAGCGTGCTGAGGTACAAGAAGACGCACGCGTTGGTCGCCGCGCGAGCAGCCCTACCGCCAGAACTGCTGCAGCGCGGAGCCGGTCTGCTGCAGAAGAACGTCGCGCAATCGGAAACGGCGCGAGGATGAGCCCGGACAGTGCGCAGACATGTATTCCTACTCAATCGATGATTTTCCAAAATTGTGGTCGTGAACTTCAGTCTTGGACCGTGGCGCCAATCGCCCATCCACCCGGGCCGGGGCGCCCACGACAAACCAGGCGCTTTCGCAGCTGCAGCGGTGAAGTGGGACATTGGTTGTTGCCGGCTGCCTCTGACTTGTGAGATATCGCGTTTGAGCCTGCCCCCACCAGTAACAGCCGCCGCGTCGGCGGCTTCATGTCTGTGTGTGAGGTGCAAATGAAGTTTTCGTTGTGGCTGGCGCCACCTTGCCCGCCGCCCCCCGCTCGGATGAGAGCTAAGACTTGGAGCCTCTCGATGTGTGCTGACTCGGTCAATTAATTTTTCAGGCCCTTGTCTCCTCACCCTTTTTCCCTTCCCCGCCAGTAACACTTGGCGGGCTGGGAGGGGCGGGGGCGCTGGGGGCGTTTTCAAAACAAGGTGGGACCGTCCCAAAGATAACATGATTTTCTTACGCCTTCGTCGGATTTTAGGCCGCCAGAAAGCCCGACCTTTTTCAGCCGAAGCTGGTCGGTTTCCATATTGTCAAATTTTGCGTTCTCCGCTCAAGTTCTCCCTTCCGCCCTTCCCGTTTCGCTCTCTCGCCTATGACTTGTGAGATATCGAGTTTGAGCCTGCCCTGACCAGTACCAGCCGCCGCGTCGGTGGCTTCACGTTCGTATGTGAGGTGAAAATGAAGTTTTCGTTGTGGCTGGCGCCACCTTGCTCGCCGCCCCCCGTTCGGGTGAGTGCTAAGATTCGGAGCCTCTAGCATGGGACTTCAGTGTGAGTAGGTCCTCTCCCTTTGGGGCTTATAACGGGCCAGTGCGGCATCACACCAACCCTCAACATAGCCTAGGAGAGGGCTCAAGACTGGCCCAAAAACTCTCAAGAGCACCCGCGGCCTCAAGTTGGGCCCGGAGAAAAGAGATGGCATGGCATTAATGTTTGCCTATCTTCTTTGTTGACTGATTGCCTCCAGCACTGCCCAACGCGTGGCCGAACGTCTCCAGATAAGACTCCGAGAGGGTCCCCGAAAAGCTCCATGATGCCTCCAAGTTGACAATATGGGGTGCCCGAACTGGGAAAACACCAAGGCAAGCCATGCCTGACCAACTCGGCGAAGTGAGCCTAACACAAGTACACTTAACATAAGCTGGAAAACATAAGGGTGTGCATACGATACCACATTGCAATGATATGCGCAACACCCAACAGAGCATAGCTGAGCTACCCGTAAGGTGGTGCGCTGGATCGACGGCCTGCTCAGATAGATCTTTGATTTGGTTAGTTTAGTTCGTGCCCCTCCCCTAGGATCCACCTGTACGCCTTATGTTACCTCAGGGCGACCAATCGCCTACGTGTTTTCTGGATTCCTGCCTGGATGGGGCACGCGTCAGCAATAATCCTTGGCCACTCGAGTGCAGGCGCCAATGCTCTGTGATGCCATACCCAAGTTAGATGGTTCGAACATTATGCGTAGAGTGCTGCCACGGTCCTCAATATCTCCTACCTCCTCCTTCTCCTCCTCCTCCTCCTCCTCCTCCTCCTCCTCCAATCCTCTCTCCTCTTTTCCCGTCGACTCATCATTCCTTCCTCCCTCCTTCTTCCGTCCCACTCCCCTCCCCTCCCCTTCCTTTCCTCGCCCTCCTCTCCTCTCTTCTACCTCCTCCTCCTCCTCTTCTTCCTTCTCCTCCTCCTCCTCCTTCTCCTCCTCCTCCTCCTCCTCCTCGTCCTCCTCCGCTTCTGCCTTCTCCTTTTTTCCCGCTTCCGCCTCCTCGTCTGCATGTTCCCCCAACCATGTGACGTCCTGAGATTTTCAATACGCGGTCCCCGGAAGTCCAGTCCGCTTCCCTGGGACCGGTTTTTGCTCCCGATTAATATTTTGACGCTCACGGGGCCCGTCGAGCGTCTCCAGAGGCCGAAAACGACCGCAAACCTCCCGTCGTGATCTCTTTCACGACGCGAGCATGTCTGGGCCCTCTTCCTCGGCCTCCTTCCTCCTCCTCGCCTGCCTTCGTCCTCCCTCCTCTTCGTCGACGTCGCCCTGCGCGCGCGCTGGCGCCTTGGCCGTGCGCCAGGCCGTTCCGCCCGCGTGGCAGCCGGCGGCCACCGCCGCGGCGACCGCCGCCGCCGCACCCCGGCGCGTCTTCCGAGCTGACTCCTCGCGCAGGGATGGCGGACGTCAGGCTCAGGCTCGAGGCTCGGGGTTTCCGGGCGTCGGTGGTCGGTGCTCGGCGGTGGTCCCGCCTCGGGATGGTCTCCAGCACCTGCGCCTCGCCGAAGCCGTGCCAGGAATGCCCAGATCGTCCCGAAGGGCCGCCGGAGAGGCGAGGTGTGGCCCGAAAACCAGGTGGCGACGACAGGCGGGGAGGGGGGGCAGGCGCAGCAGGAGGAGGCGGGGGGGAGGAGAGGGAGGAGGTACAGAAGGGGAAGGATTTGGAGAGAGGAGGGGGGCCAAGGGGGCTCCAAGAGGGACCCAGGAGCGGGAAACGGAACTGGCCCTGGGGGATCCTCCCTCCAAGATAACCCGAAGAGGCTCCAAGAGGCCCCACGAGGTGCTCAAGCCTCCAAGAGAGCCCCCCAATAAGCCTCCAAAAGGCTCCAAAGAAGCCTTGAAGACGGTGGAACGGGAAGGCACGAGGCCCCCAGGATTCTCCAGAGCGTCCCTCAGAGGCTCCACGAGGCCCCCCAAGGGGCACCCAGACCAGCACTGCTGAGGAGCAGGGCCAGCCAGCCAACGCCCAGGCTCTACGTACGTCGGACGTGCACCCCGCGAAGCGAGGAGAATCCTGGAGACGAGTGTGCCCGTCACCAAGGACGAGAGCCCATTTTTGAAATCAACCTGCCCTGAATCCGACTAACTGTTGGAATTTCAAGACGAGTGGGCGTGGAGCTCATGCGATCGCTTCATTTTGCTCCGTCTTTGTAACTGTTGAAACTTTGAAAAGAATGCTTGCGGCGCTACGGCGAGAACCCTAGGTGGAACACATATCGCCATACATATATGTATTTGCAACGAAATTCAAAACGAAAATGCGCGGCCATTTTGAAACGATGTCACCCTCCATCCGTGTAGCTCTTGGAAATTCAAATCTTACGGAGTATAAGCGTTGAAGTTTTTTCAAGCGGACCGCCCGGATCTCCCAAAGACACGTCTGGTGGTGCGACACGGAACAGTCATCTATAAAGGGCTGGAGGTTCAGGAAAAGGAGGAGGAAGAGGAGGAGGAACGCACGAAACTCATGAGGGAATGATTACGTTTCCGATTGGCGCTGATGGCCAGCTTCGTGGCACGCAAAAGCCTCAGGTGGGCCGCAAGGTCGCCACAACTGGAAGGCGAGGCCTCATGCTCTGCCTTGAGCTTGTGGTAGAAGCGAAGTGACAACTTAGCACGACTAGGCGGTGAGGGGTCTCTCGGGAGACCTGCGAATCAGAATCTGAATGGAGGCCAGGGCCGAGGCGGGCTAGGGGGCAAAAGGGGAGGAAGAGCCTCGGACGGGCAAGGGTGTGGAGGAGACGTGGGCAGGCCAGGTAATGAGGCCACCGATCGAGACAATCCTCGCACCCTAACAGGCAGCGGCGCTGGCCCAGCACGGGCATACGACCTGAGGTGGCTCATCCCCTTGCGAGAGTCCTAACGTGGGCCTGAGCTCAGCTGGGCTTGGACCGGGAGAGCACATCACGGGGCAAGGCCCAACGATGGGCCAAGTCGCACAGCGGGGGAGGGGGGCACCTCAGGGAGCCAGGCCCTCAACCTTCGAAGGATGAAAAGGGGGAGATCATCGGGGAATGCGAGGCGGGTGCGGGCCTGGGGCCTCGGACGGCCGAGGCGACCGCAGCGGCGGCTAAGTCCTCCGTGCCGGCAGAAGCGGCATCGCGAAGCTGGTCCACGCGAAGCGAATAGCGCGGCACACAGTCCAAGGCCGAAGCGAAGAACTGTGCGATACTCTGTTGCTGCTGTTAACACGGAGGGTTCCATTCCTGGTAGATAAATCTGACCAGCGGCCCGTTCCACGCTGCAGGATCCCCTAACTCGAAAGAGAGTTGCCTAACCCTGGAGCCACAAGTGTGGGCCGCAAACCTCCATGCCGATGCGCAGGCAAGAACAGCCATCGACGCTGGGCCTGGACCAGGGACCAACGCATTCGAAGACAGCAGCTCGGCTCGATTGAACGTATTCGGGGGCAACCGAAACAGCTTATGAACAAGCTGGGGCTCTTTGGAAAGGAGGGAGGAAGGGGTGGGCAAGAACTGACAGAGGTGGGAGAGGACGGAGAGAATAACAGAGGAATTGTACATGCGGCAGGAGGCCGCCGATGGCGACAGAGTTGCTGCCACGAGGCGGATCCGAAATCACAGCTTTGATGCTGCCGCGTCCCACTTGGCCTCGAGGGTGGCCGCGGGCCCAAAAAGATGCTGAGATACTTGGCGAGGCCAGCAATGGAGAATGAGGAGTTGGATTATGCTGGATTATGCTAGCCTGATCTCCGCAGCTGCGAGGCACGCACCGCGGCGACGTTGAAAGCTCCCCCTACCCAAGGCCGTCCCTGGGCGATGAAGTTCGGCTTTGGTCAAAAAGGCTTGCCCGTGGTGGGGTGTCGACCTTTCCACAAACGGCTCAAACGTCCAGCCACTTTTCGGGGGTTTCCCTGGACACAGCTCGACAGCAAACCAACCCATCTGTCCTGAGCGTACCTGGCACATCGGCGACAGAAGATCACACGGGGGAAGCATATTAGCCTGTGCCCCTGGGTGCGGGCTCGTTCGATCCTACCTCCGTCTCCCCCCAACCCAACACGGTGGGGCGGGGCGCCGGGAGGCGGAAGGTGGGGAGGCTCCACTGCCCCCCCTTCACCCCCACCAAGCCGGGGTCCGGGGTGGTTGGGTGGGTTCGAGTCCCGCTCAGCCGGACTCGAGCCCTCGGAGGTGTCAACAAGCCCTCTGCCTAACACTCCTACGTATGCTGCGAACTCAAGCACATCCGTAACGAGTTTGAATCGCTGTATGTATGCAGCTCGGTGCCATTCAGGGTGCTGCTGCAGTCGAGCTCCTAGCTTGGCATACTGATCGGCGAATCTGTTTCCCTCCCACAGCTCGAAGCCCATCTCGTTTCGTTGGGCTCTCGTGGCATAGGCTTTTACTTTCTCGAAACTGACCCCTCGCGGCCCCAGACCACCGTTTTCAGCGATCAAGGCCCAGCAGCGCGCCCACACGTCTCTGTGTGGCGTGGCGGGGCGCGCCGCCCACGAGGGCCCTCTCAGAAACCCGTCGATGACCGACTGGCAGTCGGAGACGATGATGATGGGCGGGCAAGCCACCTCCAGCACGCGGAGCATGGCCATCAGCTCGCTCAGGAATATGGATTGCTGCCGCTGTGGCCTTGGCAGGGGCCCGTAGCATGCGTACTTCAAGGACATGTCCTCGTTCAGCTGCACGAGTGACCAACCTCCGCGTCGTAGGGCAGCGTACTTGCCGTACAACAGGCTGCCATCGGAGTACACTCGGCCCGTGGCGAAACCCGCGACCTCGCCCTCGACGTGAATGGTGTCGACGACGGCGATGTCCCACAGGCCGAGCTCTACCGCGGTGTTGTTGGCCAGCCCACGGCCCCAGAGCTGCTCGGACCCTGGCCATGGGTTGGCTCCTCGCTGCACGATGTGGGCGCCACCCACACGCCGACGCTCCTCCTGCCGCGCCGCGCAGACGAAGGTGCGGTGTCTGTCCGTGCCCTCGCCCTGGTTGCACGCATTGCAGATGGCATCGGGTGCCGCTCCTTTGGCATGCAGCCGCGCCTGCGGCCACGTGCCCCCGCACCAGAGCGTCCTCACGCGCGTCTGGTGCGCCTGCGTCCAACGCCCGCGGCATGGCCGCCGCAGGAGCGCCCTCACAGGCTCAACGAAGATCGACTGCATGTTGAACTCGCTCCCCCACTTGGCCAACCACGCGTCCTTGAGGCCCTGCTCGGTGGCGGTGCGGACGTAGTGGTGCAGCTCGTGGAGGGGGATCGTCCTCAGGTCGATGATGTTGGTGCCGATGGTAATCGAATGCGCCGCCTGGGTCATCCAACCGAGCCTCTTGACCGTCGCCAAGAAGGGAGAATGAAGAGAAGAGGGGAGCGATGACCGAAAGGAGAGAGGAGATAGCCGAGGCGACGGCGGCACAGCATGTAGTCCACAATGAGACCACCACGCATCTTCTAGGCTGCAAGCAGAGCCAAGCAAGGCGGCGCGCAGCCAGAAACACTGGCTCAAGCCGGGCAGCCTGGCTCAGACAAGGCAGTACAATTCCGACATCGTCGGCGCACGCCCCGGCATCCAGATGGTCGCACGGCGGTTCGCTAGCGTCGGTGCCCTCGGCGATGTGGAACAGGAAGGCGTCGAAGCACAATGCCCACAATGTTCCGGACAGTGGGCACCCCTGAGCAACTCCAGCGGAGACCTGTAATAAGTACCGAAATTCGTCACCAAACCAAGCGCTGACCTGCAACTCGTGGTACAAAGCCCGGATCGCGCATATGTAGACAGCCGGCAAACAGTGGTGGAGCAAGACTGCGGCTATCCACTGCCAGTTCATGGAGGGGAAAACGGCCTGCACGTCGTACGAGAGGATGCAGGGCATGCGTTCGACGGCATCCTCCTGTCCTCCCGCCGTTCTGACAGCGGTGTCCATATTCACAACGTGTGAAATAAACTTGCGATCGCGGAGGAAACCTCTTTGGGAGGGTTGGCAGCGGCTTTCAGCAACATGTCGAAGGTAGGAGCTGATCGTAGATGCCACGGCCTTAGAGTCGTTAATTTTCAGAGCAAGCGGCCGCAGCATGTCAGGGGTGCGTACCACATCGATGACATCCTCGAGGAGGAGGAGGAGGAGAAGGAGAATAGGAAAGATGAGGGAGACGGGAGGACCGAAGATGAGGAGCAAGATCGGACATCTAAGGGAGAACATGGACGGAACATGATGATGCAGATGACGATGAGTAAATGGGGGAGTAAGAACGGGGGGAATGAAGGCCTCCTCTTTCTCCTCCTCCTCCTCTCCTCCTCCTCCTCCTCCTCCTCCTCCTCCTCCTCCTCCTCCTCCGCCTCTCCCCTTTTTTCACTCTTTTTCCCACTCCTTCCTGCGAACGAGGGAGGAAGACGAGCGAGGAGGATGAAGCAGGTCGAGGACGGAGGAGGAGGAAGAGGAGGAGGAGGAGGAGGAGAAGGAGGACCAAGAACACCTAAGATTCTCGACGATGTTGTAATACACCCTTCCGTCCGAAGCCCCCTCCTCGGAAATTCCCCTGCCACTCAGGCGAGACCCCTTCATGCAAGGATCTACCCTCGATTTTCCGGCAAAATCAAGCGCAGCGGTCAGATTATAAAGTCCATGGGGATCTCCTGCGATAGCCATGTTTTGGAGAAGGGCATGCCTTCCACCCGTGTAAGTGTTGCATCATTTGAAAATTCAGGGCGTACACTTTACGGACGTTTCAAAGAAACACCACATTTCCAAAACAGACCGGCCTGCACCCGTTTAGATAATGGGAACTTTTTGAACACATGTTCGCGGCGCCAAAGAAAACGAACCTGATGCATCCGTGTAGCCCTTCTTTGTTGAGACGAGTGTGCGCGGTGCTAAGGCTAGAGCCGCATTTTGAACATTAACCGCTCTCCGTCCGCTTAGCTGTTGCGCGATTTGGACGTTGCGGTCGTAATATTTGAAGCCTCGAGCGAGAGCCGCATTTTGAAAACGAGCCGGCCTCCACGGCCTCCACCCTCGCAACAAAAATCGAACTTTTGCATGTTGCGAACGGCTGGTCCTCCATCCCTGTAGCTGCTCGATTTTTTCAGCTTCGTGGTCGTAGGTGGTTAGGAATGCTCAAGCGGAACTGAAGGGGCCCTGGGGCATACAAATAAATGCACACAAGTAACCAGATTTCCCATATTTTCTCATATTTTCAATGTTTTTGTCTCCCCCCCCACTTCCCATATTTTCCCATATTTTCTGGGGGATCGACGATTCATTGTGTCTGTGTGTGTTTTTTCCCTCCTGAGAAACGCCTGGCCCAGCCTGCGGATACGTGTGGCGGTGCGACGGCGGCGGGCAGGAAGGAGGGAGGGAGAGAGGCAGGGACGGGGGCAGGAGGCTGCCTTTCCCACACGAGAGCGAGGGAGGCGACGCCTGCTGGGCCCGCGCCCCCCGCTTGCCGGCGCCCCGCCCCGTGCGTGGCGGGCTGGAGTCGCACTTGATCACCGCGGGCGATGCCTTTCTTGGGAAGTGCGTGTGTGTGTGTGTGTGTGTGTGTGTGTGTGTGTGTGTGTGTGTGCGTGTGTGCGGGCGGGGGAGGAAGAAACGAGGGAGGAACAAAACCAAATGAGTAATGAATGAGGAAGGAAGGGGGAAGGAGGACCGAAAGACAAGAGAAGGGAATACAGAAAGGAAGGGAGGGGAGGAAGAGAGGCGATACTTGATCTGGGCCAAGTGCCAGCAGTGACATACAACACAGGGATGGCCCTCGTATAGACAGGCAACGCAAAGCAACGGCTGCCAAGGGGGATGGTGGAGGACGAGGAGGATGAGGAGGAACAAGTAGGGTGTAGTTGAAGGATTGTGGTGATGCTCAGACAACCGATTCCGTGATGGTGGTAATGCTGATGGGAGGAGGAGGAGGAAGAGGAGGAGGATAACGAGAAGTAGGAGGAGGAGGAGCAGGAATATGATGAGGAGGACAGTAGGAAGGGGGAATAGGAGGAGTAGGAGGAGGAGGAAGAGGAGTAGGAGGACGAGCAGGAGGAAGAGCAGGAGAAGGAGGACGAGGAGGACAGTAGGAGGGGAAACAGGAGGAGGAGGAGGAGGAGGAGGAGGAGGAGGAGGAGCAGGAGGAGGAAGAGGAGGAGCAGGGAGGAGGACGAGGAGGAGGACGAGGAGGAGGAGGAGGACAAAGAGGAGGAGGAGGAGGACAAAGAGGAAGGGGAGGAGGAGGAGGAGGAGGAGGAGGAGGAGGAGGAGGAGGAGGAGGAGGAGGAGACGTTTTGTTTTCGATGGAGAACGCCGACAAACCTGCCAAGCCATACACTCTGTGAGGACGGCGCCTCTTCCCAGAGGAAATCAAACGCAGCACGTGCTGGTCTGAACCAGGCTGCCAAGAGAATGCCTGGAAAGTGAGGCCTCCCTCGCTGTGGGGGGACCTGGGAGCGGGTGGGTCTGGCCCGAAAAAAAGAAGCGGATGGCGGGGAGCATGTACCTGCCACCTTGACCAGCAGCACGAGGCATCGCAGGCGCGGCCAAACAAAAGAGACTGCCAATAACCCAACCTAGCCCTGTCCAGCAATCGGAGTTCCACGCCAGTCGGCGGAACCACGTAGACAGGGACCAACATCTTCTCACTGGGAGCACCCCACAAGATGAATCCAGGGGGGCCGCCAGCTCAAGATGAGGGCAGGCAACGACGAGAAACTATCATGTGCCTACAAGCGGACTGGGTGGCGCTCGAGGTCTGTTTCACCCTCTGCCACTGTCGCCACCAGCCGCACTTGGCCAAGCCCAGACAAACGGGGCAAAGCTGGGTGGCGCCCGCGGTCTGTTTCATCCGCTGCCACTTTCGCCACCAACCTGCCCGACCGCTGACATCGCAGCATCCGTGGGGGGACTCACGCCGAACGAAGGGAATAGAAGAAGGCAGAGACGGGACGATGGCGGAACGGCTGCCAGTCCCGCAGTGTAGCGGAAACCGCGGTCAAGAGAGGCGCCAGCCTCGGGAAACGCAGGGCGCCAGAAATGAGTGAGGTCAATCTGGGCTCCCCGAGCTGGCGTCCAACACACTTGGCTGAACGTATGTAGACCGAGGGCGAATGTAACCAGGAGCCGCTGCAGCGCCTGGAGCCATGACCAAACCGGGGACACCTCCCGGAGGTACGGCGCCGCTACCACTCGAAACCGCTGTGGGGGCAGCTCCAGAAGGTACATCGCCGCTGCCACAGAGAGACCTGGAGGCACCTCCGGAAGGTACCGTGCCGCTGAAAAGGCGAGCCGTGTGTGGGGGCACCTCCCGAAGGTAAAGCGCCGCTGCCACTGCGAGACAAGGTGGGGACACCTCCCCGAGGTACAGCGCCGCTACCACTTGAAACCGATGTGGGGGCAGCTCCCGAAGGTACATCGCCGCTGCCACAGAGAGACCTGGAGGCACCTCCCGAAGGTACCGTGCCGCTGAAAAGGCGAGCCGTGTGTGGGGGCACCTCCCGAAGGTACAGCGCCGCTGCCACTGCGAGTCAGGGTGGGGACACCTCCCGAAGGTACAGCGCCGCTGCTACTTGAAACCGATGTGGGGGCACCTCCCGAAGGTACAACGCCGCTGCCACAGATAGACCTGGAGGCACCTCCCGAAGGTACCGTGCCGCTGAAAAGGCGAGCCGTGTGTGGGGGCACCTCCCGAAGGTACAGCGCCGCTGCCACTGCGAGACAGGGTGGGGACACCTCCCGGAGGTAGAGCGCCGCTACCACTTGAAACCGATGTGGGGGCAGCTCCAGAAGGTACATCGCCGCTGCCACAGAGAGACCTGGAGGCACCTCCGGAAGGTACAGTGCCGCTGAAAAGGCGAGCCGTGTGTGGGGGCACCTCCCGAAGGTACAGCGCCGCTGCCACTGCGAGACAGGGTGGGGACACCTCCCGAAGGTACAGCGCCGCTGCTACTTGAAACCGATGTGGGGGCACCTCCCGAAAATACAGCGCCGCTGCCACATATAGACCTGGAGGCACCGTCCGAAGGTACCGTGCCGCTGAAAAGGCGAGCCGTGTGTGGGGGCACCTCCCGAAGGTACAGCGCCGCTGCCACTGCGAGACAAGGTGGGGACACCTCCCGAAGGTACAGCGCCACTGCCACTTGAAACCGCTGTGGGGACACCTCCCGAAGGTACAGCGCCACTGCCACTTGAAACCGCTGTGGGGGCACCTCCCGAAAGTACAGCGCCGCTGCCACAGAGAGGAGGCCTGGAGGCATCGCCCGAAAAAATAATGCCGCTGCAAGGCGAGCCGTGTGTGGGGGCACCTCCCGAAGGTACAGCGCCGCTGCCACTGCGAGACAAGGTGGGGGCACCTCCCGAAGGTACAGCGCCACTGCCACTCGCAACATGCGTAGCGGCACCTCCCGAGGGTACAGCGCCGCTGCCACACGAGGGAGATCCTAGCCTAAACGACTCTGCCTGGCTTGGAGCCGCCCCTCTCGAGCGAGATCCGGTGGCCGCCCCCTCAGGCCTGAGGGCGATGGCCACGCGTCGAATCTCGTCAGCATCATCTTTTCCCGCGCCGTCCCCAGGGACGAGGGTCGAGGGACAGGGGGTCGCCTCTCAGATGCCTTTCACGAGGGTGGCGGCCTACCAGACGTTTATCTGAATTCGTCTTCCCGTACCTGCTGAGCCGTTGTGCACACTCCGTGGCCAAACCACACTTCACAAACTGCCCTCGATGCAAGAAAGCTCCACGATCAAGACACACACAACAGTCGGCGCCGTCAAAGCAATACCAAACGACCTTGTGCCGAAGCCTGTCCGCTTCGTCAAGGTTCGTGCGATCTTCACCTTGAACTCCTGAGCAGCGGCCTCCCTGGGGCTCGGCGGATGGGCGAGAGCCCTTGAGGCAGACAGAACACCTCCAGAAAGGCCCTCATCTGACCCAATCATGAGCAAGGGTCTGGGGAGGAGGGGCTCCTTCCTGAGGTCTCTTGATGAGAAGTCTTAACTCGGCCACTTGGACAACATGTTGGCAGCAAGGCAGCATACTGTTTTAGCCACGGCGACCATGTGCATGAGCCTACCTTCCACATCTTCGGGCGGCCGAGGGTGGATCGCAGCACCAGCACGAGCGGCGGCATCAACATGCGCATTACCTTTCTTATTGGGACGCTCAACTTCTGAAATGCCTTCACCGTCAAGGTCTTGGTGGGAACGACTCTTCGACACACTGGCGAGGAGAAAACAATTGTTCACATGCTGGGACACTCTGGTATGTTTCCTCTTGTAAGGCAATCCCTCAAACGCTGGCTAACAGAAGTGCTTGACTACCGCAAGCCATTCAGACCGTCCAT